CCCTCCCCCCCTCTCCAAAATAAAATGAACTAAAGTCTTTTGTATCATTATTACTTATGCACTGTTGCTAAGTGGATTGGGGCTTTTTTTTTGTTTGATTGTTTTACTGATAACTTTTTACTACTTTTATTACACTTTTTACAAAACATGTTAATGCTCTTTTTCATTGACACAGGATATTACTTTTTTTCCCACTCCGTTTCTGGCTGATGTACAGTATTGCCAGCTGATGACTTTTATAACTCCAGGCTGTTGCTTGTATTCAGAAATAAAAGTCACGTTCCAGGGGCAGAATCTTAAAGCTAACTGACACACAATTCTGTTTCATTGTTAGTTTAAACTTATCTCCAGTATCTTCCATCTGTTGCCATGGTCTTTTTAGAAAATTATTTTAACCCTCTGTTTTCCAAATAAGATCAAATAAGTAGTTTATAAATAGGATATTCCTAAACTGAGAGTACTTTTCTTACTATTGCATTCAATTTAGGCTTACAGTATAGTTTTCTCTTGTAAATAGTTGCAGAAAATGACTGCTCTTTTTCCTTTGTAATTTAAAATGAAGGCTGGAGAGAATTTGAGCACAGTGGAAAATGAACTGTTTTGTTTTGTTTTTTAAATAAGGCAAGTCTGTGGAACAAAGAAGTGGGATATCATGATACATTAAGACAAATTATAAAATCAATGATGACGTGGCAATCCTTGAGGAAAACCTACTGAATATCTTTGGAGTCCATTGTATGAAATGTTAAGCTTATATGTTATTGTGGGCCTGGATAATCAAAGGACTATACCGGACAATGTGGCAGACAGAATGGTTTTTTGGGGGCAATGGGACAATATGTGTGAAGGGAAATTCCTGGGAAATACATGGAGTGAGGTAAAACCAAGTGCTGTCCACCTGTTATTCAGAACCACAATGTTTTGGAAGGTAGGCCCGGAAACAAGATCCATTATTTGCAGTCTCTTTTTGGAGGCAGGAGCTTCAAGGCCCAAGTTGTATAAAGAAACAGATTGATATGCATAGTTTGGGTTCTTGCTTCACACTGAAGCTGCTAAGAATTTATGACCCTGGAAAAGACTCTTGGTTGAGTTTAAAGAACTGACATCCTACCAGAGGCTTTGTTGCAGAGTGTGTGTGATGGGGGGGGGGAGAATCTGTGGTAAGCTTATTAGTATATGAGTATGAGTAGATCCCTTTGTTGTTTTAATACATTTTCTTTCTGATGCTTTTACCCTAAGAATAAATATGCTTGCTTAGAGAGAGCTGTGGTTTACTTTTAATTGTGGGAAACTCTGTTGATAGCCTTTGAGGGAAAAGAAAAGCACTGATGCTGGCTTGTTTAGGTACCGTATTTTAGCGAATATAACCCACGGGTTATATTTGTATTTACAAACTCTGCAGCCCCCTGTGGGGTATACTCAAGTGCAGGGTATACAAAAATTTTTTTACTCACCTGGTGGTGAGCGCTCCCCCGCTGCACAGCCACCAACCTCCGGGCAGGGGAGTGCTCATCTCCCGGTTCCTGCTCAGGAGCACTCCCCTTCCACCTTCCTGGGGCCAATTCTCCTCCCCCCGCCGACCCGTAGAAGCCCTCTCCCTCCCCCGCACAGTTTGAAAAAAAGTCTTGTATACCCTGCAGGTTATACTCGTGCACGAGGTATACCAGATTTTTTTTTACTCAAACTGCAAAAACTGCGGGGTATATTCGGATGCGGGGTTTACTCAGGTGTGGGGTATATTCGCTAAAAGACAGTAGGCCAATTCTCCTCCCCCCGCCGACCCGTAGAAGCCCTCTCCCTCCCCCGCACAGTTTGAAAAAAAGTCTTGTATACCCTGCAGGTTATACTCGTGCACGAGGTATACCAGATTTTTTTTTACTCAAACTGCAAAAACTGCGGGGTATATTCGGATGCGGGGTTTACTCAGGTGTGGGGTATATTCGCTAAAAGACAGTAGTTTGGATATCTGGGAATTAGGGATGTTAAATGGCGTTTAATCAGCTAATCGACTAGTTGATGGAATTTCCATTGACTAGTTGATAGGAGGGGAAACTGCACAGCCACAGCAGGGCCTGATTGCTAACCCCGCTGCGATTCTGCCTTTTAAATGCATGAGGAGCCACAAGGCTCTTCATGCATTTCAAAGTCTGAAGCGCAATGTGGGGAACCAGGCGCGAGCTGGGAATTAGCTGTCCTGGCTGGCACCCAGTGCTCCGCTGCACCTCTGCCTCCCCTGCTTCCTCTTCCACCCACCCACCCACCGCGGAGATGGTGCTGTGGTGGAGGAACCAGCTTTTAAGCCAGCTCCCCCAAGCAGCAGCTCCATCACCCGTCCCCTTGTTGCCTCTCTCTGACAGAGGAAGCAAGGGGGGGTTGGAGAGTAACTAGTCGAGTCACTAGTCAACAAGTGGCTTACATCCCTACTGGGAATAAAACATTATGGGTACGTCTACACTGAATGGCTATTTCAGGATACCGGAGGTATCGCAAAATAGCTACCCCACGTCTATACAAGCTGCTGGTTATTTCGAAATATTTTTTGAAATAATGGGCACTCTACTTCACCATCCCAGTAAACCTCGTTGCACAAGAGATAAGGGATGGCTCGAAATAGTGTTGTTTCGAAATTTGGCGCTGTGTAGACTCACCAAATTTCAAAATAAGCTATTTCTAAATAGATTTGAGATAAGATATGCAGTTTGCATAGCTCAATTGCGTAGCTTATTTTGAGTTTAGGGTGCTATATAGACCCACCGTCTATGAAGGAATATAAAAGTTTGGGTATATCCCTATAAGGGAGGGAAAAGCTAGGGTTTCTGCCCAAGTGAGGCAACTGCTGGGAGCCAGAAGACTGAAAATAAGTGCCTTTGAGAGAACATAAGCACAGTTGCCCTTAACTGTTACAATGTCTAGCTAGGAAATCTTTCATGTTCATGTAGCATGCAACTCTGAAAGCATAATATCTTTGGGAAGAAGGATCCATTTTTGTTGTTGCTCAGCAAAGTATGAGCAAAAAAGCCTTTTACCTCCAAAATAATAGACTTTCCTATTAACATAGGAGTATATTATTAGTTATGTATTATGTAGCCTCCTTATTAGTTTGTTTGCTTTTTTGGTTTATAATCAAAATAGAGAGAAAAACACCAATCTTTATCATTTTTCTCAATCCCTAAAAGCCTGAATAAAGGGTGAGCCTTTCCTTGGGTCCTGAAGACCAACAGATTTGGAAGCTGCTGCTGATCCCAGAACACCAGTGTTCTGTCATCTTATTGAGATATGCCACTTCCTAAACAGGCTGCCACTGTCTTACGGGAGTTTACGTTTCTGGATTGTTTTAAGAAGTAGTCCCAGTTA